CTCCCTCTCAGGGAATTTAATAAAGGTTTAACGTTAATTGCGTACGCTGAAATGACGTCCTTGTGTTCCATTACTGTGGTCCAATGGAACTGTCGCTCCTTGGTTCGTAACCTGGATGCCGCTAGACTTCTGCTCCAAGATACTCGAGCTGAAGTGGCGGCCTTCTGTGAAACCTATATGGATGACAAGTCTATCGTGACGTTTGCAAATCACGAGGTCATCTCTCGTGATCGCAATAGACACGGAGGTGGAGTCGCAATTGTTGTTGCTAAACATATAAAGTTCCGTCTGCTAGACCTTCCTGATCTCTATAATGTCTGCCGTCAGAACTCAGTGGAATTAGTAGCTCTTCAACTTCTTTTCCCTAAAGGAAAGTACCTGTATATCTTCTCTGTGTATAGCCCTCCTCGTTGTAGTAGTGGCTACACGGATCCGGACTTTTGGTCCCTCTTCTTCCGGACCTGTTCCAGGTTTCAACCTATGGTGATCTGCGGGGACTTCAACGGTAAAAGCCCTTTGTGGGGTGGTACCTCCACTTCTGTTAATGTTGAAGGAAGAAAAATTGAGAGAACAGTAACCAACCTCTCTCTCTCTGTACTGAACGATGGAAGCTGTACCTGGTGTTCGCCAGATTTGTCTAGTCGTTCCTCTCTCGATCTAACTATAGTCTCCCAAGATCTTTCCGCTCAGGGCTTCTGGGAAGTGTGTGACTACCATTATGGCAGTGACCACTTTCCTGTAGTCACTAAAGTACGCGGTCGTTTCTCAGGTCGAACGGCTTGCCGTCCGTATTACTCGGTGGGTAGGGTCAACTGGGATCTCTTTAGATCAATCTGTGTATCTCAGATCCCTTCCCTTCCTTGCTTAGATACCTCTGATAAGAAAGATGTTAGTTCTGTTTACTCAAGTCTTGTAAAACTAATAGAAGGTGCGTTGTTGCAGGCGGGGGCTGCGAAAGTCTGTAGACAAGGTACCTCTAGGAAACCTCCTTCCCCTTGGTGGAATGCCTCGTGCGCTGAGGAACACAAAAGAAAGAAGGAAGCTTGCAAACAGTTTCTTGCTCGCCCTAACAAGGAAAATTTCGATAATTACAACAGGATCTCAAAGGAGACCTACAGGTTCTTTAGAAAAAAGAAAAGGGTTGCTTTCCGAAAATTTTGTGAGTCTCTCCATGCCAACTCGGATGTGGGTTCGGTCTGGAGTACCGTCAGGGCCTTCTCGGGCGCTCGCAGTAAATCCAGATATTCAGGGAATAGAAACTGCCTTGACCAGGATGGGCTTTGTCAAGCAATGGAAAAGATTGCCCCGTTAAACCCTGGTGCTGCCCCTGAAGGCGAGGAGGTGCTCCAGGAGATGGGTAATTTGGACTCAGCGGTGGATGGTTTGTTCATCGATGCCCCAATAACCCGGGACGAGTACGCTTCTACGATGAAATCCCTGAAGGTACGTTCGGCCCCGGGCCCAGATTTAATAACTAATCTCATTATTACCCAGTTTCCTTCTGAGTTACATCAGTACAATCTGGACTTGTATAATTGGATGTACTCACAAAAGGTGTATCCGGACCAGTGGAAACAGTACTTTGTAGTACTTGTCCCGAAACCGGGTCGTACAGACCCATCTCGTTGGCCAACAACCTGTTAAAGATTCTTAAAAAAATAGTGTGTAGAAGACTCGAGTGGTGGGCAGAAAACAGTAAAAAGTCTTCTCCCCCCATCAGTTTGGGTTCATGCGGGGTATGTCCTGCACGGATAATCTCTCTGTGCTCGTGTCCAAAATTAAGCTTGCTAATAACACCCGCAGGATCACTGGTGCAGTTTTTCTCGATGTTGAGGGCGCATTTGACAGTGTGGTCCCTGAGATCCTTTTGTCAATGCTGCCGAGGCTCGGGGTGACCCGCAGTGCTGTGGCTTTTGTTGCGTCTGTGGTCAGTTTTAGGGATCTGAAGGTGTATGCTTCGGGTGTTTTTGTTCAACACAGAACTACCACTCGAGGACTTCCACAGGGCTCTGTGTTGAGCCCTTTGATGTTTAACCTGTATGTGTCTCGCGTGGAGTCAAGCCTACCCCTCGCGGTTGAGTCACTCATATATGCGGACGATCTGGTAGTTTATAGCTCGGGACAGTCTGTTACTGAGGTTTCCTGCCAACTGAATCTGGCCTTGTCAAATGTCCACAGACACCTGTCTTCACTGGGCCTGGGTATATCTCCTAGCAAATCGGTAGCTACATTCTATTCCTTAAATTCTTTAAGGAATACTAAGTGGCTAATCAAAAAACATAATGTCAAAATACAAGTTGGCCAGTCGCCTGTGAAGGTTGAGTGGAACGTAAAGTTTTTGGGTGTTTATATTGACTATAAACTAAGTTGGAGAGGTCATGTCGCTGAAACCCGTAAAAAGGTCCTACCTAGGGTTAACATCCTAAAGGCGATTGCGAATATAAGGTAGGGTGCACACCCTTCGGTGTTGATGACGGCGTATAAAGGATTGGTAAGGTCGGTCCTTGAGTGGGGCTGTCAGGTTACCTTCCCTCTCGGTGAACAAGAAATGCAGGTGCTGGATAGGTTACAGTACGCGTGTGTTAGAGTCGCGTGCGGCCTTATGCGAACTACTCCGACCAATGTGTTGTTAGATTTAGTGTGTGAACAACCCCTGATGTATAGACACAAATACCTACTTAGCAAGTATGTTTGCAGGGTCTTGGCGAGGGTTAACCACCCTGTGGGACAGCTGGTCGAGAAGAATTGTGCGAACTGGACTCCAATTTGTGTGGGCGTCCGGTTTGGCCTCATGGAAGTTGGCAAGGAGTTGCTGCGGGTCACTAGAAGTGTGGTTAGGTATACGTTGCCGGGCAGCTTGGCCCTCCCTTTTGGGGTGGGTTATAGAAGGTGTTGCGTGGACACTGAGGTAGGGTATCGGATTCGTGAGGCTGAGGATCCTCAGAGTGTGTTTTCAAGCTATCTGTCGGAAACTGGGGCTACTCGAGTGTTTTTTACAGACGGCTCTCCGGTCTGCCCTAGTGACGGTGTTTCCCCGGCAGCAGTGGGGTTTGCTGTGGTGTCTGAAAACCCAGTGTTGGTCCATCAAGAACGGATCGGCGTTTCGTCTACCATTTTCGACGCAGAGGCGATGGGAGTGCTATGTGCCTTGGAGTATACGGAAGAGTTTGGTTTTTCGTCAGTAGTGGTAGCCTCGGACTCACTATTTGTGTTACGATGCCTAGAGTCACCGGACCCTAGAGGGAATCATTCTTCAATTGTGTATAAAATAAAGGAGGTAGACGTGAAGTTGGAATGCAGGGGAGTCAGAGTTAAGTTTGTCTGGGTACCCGGTCATGTAGGTGTTCGTGGCAACGAACTCGCTGACTTCTATGCAAAACAAGCCTTGTCTCTACCTGAACCAGCTGAAAAACAGGAGGTCTCTTCCCTCTTCCCCTCTATCAGGTAGAGTATCTTACATCAGTCTAGGGAGCGTCTCCTTAGCTTGTCACACTATAAAGGTGGGCGTTATTTTAAGCATATATCGGAACCGTTGGGCAAATCCTGGTACTCTAAGACTAGGAAAGGGAAGTTCCTCCTTAGACAGTTAATCTCACTAGTGTCCAGAATTCGGTCACACCATACAGCGGTAAACAGTCACCTATTTGAGAAAAATATAGTTGATAATGCGAGCTGCCAGTGCGGTCATTCAATACAGAATATTAATCATGTTTTTTTCCATTGTCCAAACAACAAAGAACATTCGGACAGGTTGCTAATCGATCTGTATCACAGTGGATTTAGTCCTCCATATAGCGTAGAAAAGGTAGCCTTTTCAGATAATTTTCGCGCCATGTTTGCTTTGTTAAAGTTTGTCAACACAGCCAACATAAGTATATAAATCATCCTAGCTGATCGTTATCTACCTCTGCATACACGTTTTTACCCCTTCCTTTCCCTTACCCCTTCTACTCTTTTTACATTTTCCTTTCCTACTTGTCCCTCAATATCACTAGATCCTGAGTCTCAGTACACAGCGCAGCAGGCAGCCCAGTGTGTTGTACACGCGCTAACCTGTGCGCTTAAAGCAAAGACTGGCCGGTGCCTAAACAGTTCAGGGGCACGGAGCCACAAGTGCAAAGAAGAAGATGTGCGATACATACGTATCTTTTCGGACTCCCGTGCGTACGCGTATCTTCCGTGCCGCTTGATAAGTCTGCCGTACCGCGATTTAATACTCAAGGTGAAGTGATTCCCGTTGCGAGGGTGACCTCGACGGAGTCAAGAACCGCTCGGAGAGTGTTCCGGACGGAGATGACAGGAGAATGCCGGAGAACAACGACGACGGTGAGGTGCCTGTTTCATTCCTGTGAGCCACGAATCCGCGTCGCACAGGCCTCGTGTCGAGGCTGGTCGTCTGTGTTTCGCGTCTTGGTTGTGGCGGCAAGAACGTATCCTTGGCCGTGTTCACGATTTTTCGACAGCGGCCAGAATCGGGCTTCACGGGGCTTCGTGGCAGTAGTTCGTAGGTTCCTAGGTTAAGTGCATGTTTTTTTGTTATTTCGCGAATAATCGTCAAGCCCTGGAGGGGCGATACGACGCCAAGTAGCCTATTCGCGTTATTTGTTTCCGTCTATTTCTTTTGCTTTTTTTTTTTTAGTGATCATATTCGTTGTGCGTGTGTCGTGATTACCGTACCGCCCGCGTACCGTCGGCTTTCGTCTACCGACGGCAATCAGCCGCCGCGGTAAGAAATCATCATAGCAAAATCGGATTTTCTCGCGCGATCGGCTGGAATAAGGTGCGTGCGAGTCGGAAGCAGTGTTGATCGCGAAGAAATATCGTACCGAGCTGACGTGCGGATTAACGACAGTTTAGGGTGGTGAAAACGTACGAATTGTACGGCCAGCTTGCCCTCCGATCCCCGCGCCTCCAATTCCGCGATTCAGTAACGCGCTGTGTACATATTATAGTCTGGAAATAAAGACTATTGATATTATTTTTATTACATTCAGCTCATGTCTTTATTACGTAAATTTAAAGAAACACAGTCAGTGATGCAGTATAACCGAATACAGTATTATATAAAGAGAAATAAAGATATATATGATCTTGTCAAGAAGACAAGATCAGAGATGAGTAGCGCAGCACCAACTCTGGCTCTAGTTTGGTGAGTCACTCCAACTTCCGCTGTTCCGAAAGCTTTTCGGATGGCGATGCTGATGCAGGTGGCCAAGTGTCTCTGGTGGCGGCCAGCCAAGGGAGCATTGCCACCATAGCGAGTGGTGAGCTACTGTAACAGCTGCGTTTGCTGCAACTGCAAGCCCAGCTGCTCCAGTTGCAGCTGCTGCTCTAGTTGCTCTATACGTTGGCGCTGCTGCTGCATGTACTGTTGCATAAACTGTTTCCTATCCTGCATCATTTTCTGATCCTCTTGAGTAAACGGCAAAGTCGAGAACTCGACCAGCTTTGACAGGTACTGACTTTCCTGCTCCAGATATTCTTGCAGTCGTTGATTCAGCTGTTGCAGCTGTTGCAGTTGTGGCTGAATTTGCTGCCGCAGCTGCATCAGTTGTTCGTGCTTTTGCTGATGTTGCAGGTGATCCAACTGCTGCTCCATCTGTTTTTGCATGTGATTCAGTTGGTCATCCCACCGGCAAAGATCGCGTATCAGGTGCAAATTCACCGATTCTAGTACATCTATAGTAAAAATGTAATTAGTAATGTGTTTGTTAGAATATTAATTCTTATTATGAATGTGATTGTTTGAAAAATAAAACTGTGTATTGTATAAGGTATCTAAAAACTTCTGACACAATCGAAGTGTAAAAGTAAATTAGACTAATTTGAACAAAAAGCTTGTGTACTATTTTGCAAACTTCACAATAGTTGTTGAGTAATTGCGTAATATATGTTATTCAATGAGCGAAGCGACGGTCCGGATGCTAAACATGCACGATTTTAAGGAAAAATTACATAATTGCAAGAAGCTGTGTTACACACTACCCGTTTTTTTGTTCGGCTTGTTGCTGGTAAGAGATTGGATAAAGCAAGCTATTTTTCTCTGATAAGTAAAAATCGTACACGTCTACAGAGTCTTTCTCACACTAATCGACATTGTGTTACACAGTGTCGCCTGTGTACGTAGCTGGAAAGCTTCCAATGAGGTAAAAATGTCCCGTTGCCAGTTGCGAAAAATACCACTTACGAAAAGAAAAGTATAATTTCTGGTTGCGCTTTGTCGTTGCGGTTGCTAAAAGAGAGTTGGTCAACTTTTAACTTTTGTCAACAGCAACTGACAACCGCAGCACGTAAAATACTACTTTTTCCCTAGTAGTTGCAAATGACGACGGGATATTTTCAACTCATTGTAGAATGACCCTAAGTCAAACAGCGTCGTGTGTCGTGTCCATAGACATATATAAATAAACCCAGCGTTCTGTGAGAGGAGTTGTCTGCGTCTTCTAAAGGACAGAACAATATACAGTAAGGGTGCCGTCCGTTTGACCACGGTACGATTGGACACAGTACAAGTGGACACCGCAAGATTAGCATACTGTACGTTTGACCACAGTACGTTTGATCACGGTACGATTGACCACGGGACAATTGATCACAATCGTACACGTGTGGGCGGGGGAGGGGCTCCCTACCCCCTCCCCATAACCCTCTACCCCAACCCAACCTTTGTTACTATCATTATTAATTGTCACGATATACATTGTCAATTGTACTGTATCCTATTGTACCGTGATCAATCGTACAGTATGCTAATCTTGCGGTGTCCAATCGTACCGTGGTCAATAGTACGTGTGCAATCGTACTGTGTCCAATCGTACCGTGGTCAAACTGAATACGCCCATGCAGTAAGATGCTGTCTCCGTCACTCCGCCGGTCTGGAAGGAATAGCGTTGAAGGGAAAGAAACTTAAAGGCGCACGCACCGCGCTTACACGTGTAATATTGGCTACGTTCGGAAACATGATTCGTGTCATTTACAGAAAATATTTTATTGCTGCATTTGCAAATCGCATTCTGGCTCTCATGCAGATATTACATTTCATACGTACGTAAATAACTTTAAAGTGCAGTAAAACTAGTTTACATTTAACCTACACTTTATATATAATAATAGAAACTTTTTTTCAAGCGTCCTACAGTCAGAAAAATTTCGAGTAAAATGGATTGCTGTAATCGGAAAGCATGTATCTGATTACAGCAAAGTATGCAGTGATCATTTTAAACCAAATGATTTTCAGTACAAAACTAATAGATTAGGTCAAATACTAAGATAGTTAATAAAATGAGCAATTCCTACAGCAGAAAAATGCCAAAAACGACATCATTTAAAGATAAAATTGTCCGATTTAGATGTATTTTGTAATCGATTAGTTATTTTTAAAAATCAGTAAATGTAATAATAAAAGGTATACTTAATAAATAAGGTATAAATAATAAAAATAGTCATTTATTTTTCTATATTTGGTAAAAACATTTATTTTTTTTATGGAGATATACTTTGTTATTATCCCTATTACGTGTATAAAACATATACACAGTTTGTCCGGAAAGTTCCCGGACTGATTTTTTCTAGCGCGGGTAAGCGGCGCTATCGAGCGGTCAACGCTGGAACTACTTAGT